ACTGTATGTGCATTGCCTTTCAGGTGTGGTGGTGCGAGAATCTGTTATATCTTCCATGAGACATTTGGACGTACATTAGATTCTATAAATGCACTGGGTGGACTTACAGATTTAGATATCTTAACAGCAATAAGAAATGCTACAGTGAGTGTTCAACTGCATTTCTGTATTCCGTTCAGTTAGGCAAGTCAGATATTGCTATATTATACATATCTCTTTCCTCGTTTTCACACAATATTTTGCTTCACAGGGCCCAAGACCAGCATTGTTTATCCCTGAAGTGTCATTTGAACTGTTGGTGAAAAGACAGATCAGAAGACTTGAAGAACCCAGTCTGCGGTGTGTGGAATTAGTACATGAGGAGATGCAGAGGATTGTACAACACTGTGGGACGCAAGAGTTACTTAGATTTCCTAAATTGCATGATAAGATTGTGGAAGTGGTGACCTCACTACTCAGAAAGCGTTTAGCGCCAACTAACGCCATGGTAAGAAACTAATTCAATACCATATTATGTCTGCTTACTATTAGTAAAAAGTGATGTTTTCAACTTCTCGTTGAAAACAAAAGTCAGATTGCTTTGATATGATATACATATAGGTATTACAGGTGGACCTATCTCAGATTTGTTCATTTCATGATGATATCTTCAATTCTCTAATTCTGATGAATATTTTTGCTGTTTTTGGTAAAAAGTGATATTTTCGACTTCTTGTATACATATAGGTACCTCAGATAGACCTCTTTCAGATTTATTCATTTTCTAATGATATCTCAGCTGACAGACTGCTTCTTTTCTGTTCCTTTCGCAAAAACAATCCTAGCCATTAGGTAATCTGATCACACAAATGCAACTATCTTGTAATGCACATGTTTTTGTTTCATAGGTGGAGAATTTAGTTGGAATAGAATTAGCGTATATTAACACAAAGCACCCTGACTTTGCGGATGCCAGTCTAATATCCGCACTAATACAGAACAATGAAATGGATAGGAAAATCAAAAACAAAACCCAGAATAATGGTGTAGACAACAAAGAGGTGGTATCCAAAGGAAGGGTAAGAATAGTTGCCAAATTATTTAATTCATCTTGTCTCTGCATGTCATTAACGTAATTGTGCATGTTTCAATGTTGTGTTTGTGCTCACCATTGTTCATACATGTCAAATATTCTGATAAATGTCTCTGCATGCATGACTTATCTATCCATGATTTGTACTGCATTAACTTGGCTTGATGTTTATTTAACACGTCTTAAATTTCCTTTTCCTCCCATGTACTGTGTCTTAAGTTATCATTAGCTGATAGAGTATCATCTCCTCATCATGTTGAGGTATGTGCTTTCATGTATTGTTCAGTCTTAAACATTCATATAGTAAAACTTAGTTGGTGGCTATTTTAGACACATGTGTCACTTGCCTCTATTAGCGGCCAGTGACTGAAAGCTTCCTACATGTATACCAATGGGGGAAAAGAAACCAGATGATGTGTTAATGAAATCCTCTCCACACATCTTAAAAAAGGCTTTCTGTTTTCATCTCCTGTATATATCTATAAATTTGTATGGAATAATCTGATTTGTGGGTTCTAGGCCAATCCACCAACTGAGGGCAGCAGTTCATGGCCATTGAGTAGGTTCATGTCAGGCCGAAGTGATAGTCAAGAGAGCCTCAATGTAACTCCAGCTACATCTGAAAATAACAGCCCACGAAAAACCAAACAACAGTCAGTTAATTTGTTACCAGACATCGTAAGTCTCATGTTATAAATACACTTCCCATGTTTTAATAACTAGTATTTATCGAATATGCCATTTCAATTTACATTCCACTTTGTGGCTCTCTATGTTAACACAGTACTTAGTAATATCATTACTTTTATTTTATCTAGCCAAGTGTTCCAACAAATAGGAAATTATCATCAAGAGAACACAGAGATTGTGATGTTATTCGTAAGTATCTAACAGTAACACATGCTTCGTGACGGATAAGTTATACAGTCTTCAGTTGCATATATTGCAGCTCCGATTTAAATTGTAGCCAAATTGTCATAATCTGTGAATGAAATTTGTGTTTCAGAGCGTCTCATCAGGTCCTACTTTCTAATCGTGCGTAAGAATATTCAAGACAGTATACCGAAGGCAGTGATGCACTTTCTAGTCAATCACGTCAAAGATAATTTACAGAGTGAATTGGTTGGTCAGTTGTATAAACAAGAATATATAGATGAATTGTTAACTGAATCTGAACAAATGGCAATGAGGAGGAAAGAAGCTGCCGAAATGCTTAGAGTAAGTTGTAACTACATGCA